GAACCACAACAATTATATTAAAGCAGTATGGCTTTACCAAATATGAAAATGTTATTACCACGTTTAATATTATTTTACTTAAAACAGCTTATTTCTAATTCAACAAATAGCATTTAAACCGTAATAATAACGCCGGCTGTGAACGCCGTGTTACATAACCCACAAGCATTGCAAACTCCGTGCACGCAAACTGCATGTGACGCAGTGGTTCATTATGCAGAATATAACAGATTACAACATCGTCAAAACAACGAGTTTTAATAAACCTTCCTTATTAAATTATAATAGCATAGCTATTTTTTTCCTTTATTACTCGTTATATTCAAAATCGAATATTTCTATTCAAAATTTCGCACATGTGATTACTGGATCTCGATAGCTCCACCTGCCGCGTCAATTGTACATCTAAACCATCCAGGGACACACTCAAATACACAAAAATTTCATCAGAATCGGTCGAGCCAGTTTTGACTTAGCGTTAGCGAAACTAACGGAAAGAAATTGATTTTCATATATAGAAACTAGCGACCCGCCCTGGTTTTGCCTGGGTAGGGTCTATTAATGTGGAGTTATTTAGATTTAAGGTAGTCAACGACCGTTTATATGACCAATTTCTTTTTTTTTAATTCAAGTTTTTCGGATAAAATATAGCTTATATCTCTCCTGATATTGATCTTTATCTGTTTGTAAGGTTTCATCACAATCGATTCAGTCGATCCCAAAAATTAGCTTGGACAAACAAACAGACAAATTTTTAACCCTCTAAGCTCAATAACGCCCACCACATACACACGGTATTCCGATTCGGGATTCCGAACGCAGCAAGTCCATATAAAATCAATGACTCGTCACACACCTACGGTATTTTTGCGTTCGAAATTTTGCGGTCACTACGGGATGCTGTATGAGAGTGGCCGATCCGTTCGTTCCGTTTGGCGGTCCTTATAGACAGTTATATCGATGTTAAGGACAGGCACTTTAATATTATTTATTACTATAGATTGGGTTTTTCAAAGCACTATTTGAAAGTCAAAACCTACGCCATCGCCCGAAAAAATTTCTACTGTACACCTTTCTACTGACCTGTGCCAATAAACTGAAATTTAGACAATTTTTCTCGCAACAGTTACCAACACATGCTAATAACAAGTACTAGGTTACCATTTAACTACAAAAATATGTATATAATAAAAAAGAGTCTATGGAAACTCATATTATACATAATGACAAACGAGCACACAGTCCACCTGATGGTAAGCTATTCCTTATAGCCCATAGAAGAATCAAAATGCAGATGCGTTGTGTCTCCTAAGAACTAAGTAAAAAGGGGTCTACGGTTATCTAAACTCACAAAACCATACGAAATATAGCAGCCTAATGACGGCCGCTATTTTGCGCTAGTATTCTGTGAGAGCTGGCCCATTCGTGCTACAACTATAATATAGATGCAGCAAGGCCCACGCCCACGTACAAAAAATTTTTTTTTCATAGTGTACTTTTTCAAAGTGATTTTTAAATGCGCTTTGAATTACGCAGAGTCAAATGAGTAATATTACAGAGAATATTGGTATAATAGTTACTTGTCATGATTACAGACCTTCACAAGTCCACTACTGAACATAGGCCTCCCCCAAGGAACGCCACAAAGCACGATCCCGAGCTACCTTCATCCATCGACTTCTTTCATATTTCAACAGGATACTCCTCTGTCGAGTGGGAGCTGCCCTAGACTTAGATCCCGATACGAGGTTGCCACTTGAGAACCTTTCTTTTCCATCGGTTGTGGTTCTGCCGGTCCATCGTCACTTCAGATTATTAATACGTTGGGCTATGTCGATAACTCTGGTTCTCCTATGAACATTCTCATTTTTAAGTCTATCATGCCTAGCCGCCGAGTATAGCATAAATAGTTATACATACAAAAAATGGACAGCTTAAAGTTAGACACACCACTTCTTATCCAGCGCCAAGCAACACATGCAATTCTATAAATTTATCAAGACATAATATATTAGACCGAATTTTGGCGGGAACTTGACGGGCGGCGCATTGCTAATCCTGTAATGATTTAGATTTGTAAAATTGGTCCGATTTTGTATATTAAATGTCAGCACATGTGAACTTTAAGAGGAAATCGTGAAACAAGTGCTCCGATGATGTGTGTCTAGATGTGGTGACTGTCAGCTTAGGCGCCTTGAGATCCTATAACCAACTGTCTGCTGGCTCAAGTTGCCGTCAAAATCTCCCGAAAATGCGCAATGTGATGCTTTAAAATAATGTGAACCAATGTATTATAAAAGATTATTATCACTTGATACTGAAATAAATGAACACATGGCTTAAGGGACAAGCATCCAAGCCAAAAATATTTATTAAAAATAAATATAAGACGAATTAATTTGGTTTGAAATAAATCTCTGCTTGGGTGTTTTCTATAAGTTTGTGTATTGTCCTTAATTTTTTTTTATTACCATGTTGATCTCATTGTTTCTGGCGAAGTACGCAAACTTTTGAGGTTTTAACAAAGCTATAAAAATGTTTTCTTTTTAATAGAAGCTATAAGAAATTTTGAAATAAAAACATTTATTAACTTTTTCCATTTTGATAACTGGAAATCCTAATCACAAGTTAAATACTAACTTGATTTTTATGTTTATACTAACAGATCGTCCTATCTTCGCCTCAGCAGGGTCTGTGAATGTGGCGTTATCAAGATTTAAAATAAAGATCACTTATTTCATCAATTGTATGATTTTGAAAAATATCTCGAAGATTTTCGGATAAATTATGGTCTAGATCAACATGACAAACAAAAACTTCGGCTCCAATCGTTTATTGTAATCAAAAAGGCTTAAAATATGTTATTATTATAGCCTGACATTTTAATGTTGTTTCTATGTATATATCTGATATATAAAAGTTAATAATTGTTTGTTCGTATTTTATACTCTGCCATACCGTTCATCAGATTGAGGTAAAACTTTGTCAATATATTGCTTGCTCTTCCGTAAAGGTTATAGGCGTAGTTGGACCAGAGAGATGGTGCTTTTTTAAAATCCAAATATGACCGTGCGAAGCCAGGGCGAATCACTAGTGGATTATAAAAGCTAGTTAACGTTACAGCCTATATACGTCCCCATGCTGGACACAGACCTACTCTCATTTCTGAGAGGATTAGCTCAGAGTGTTAGTGCTCGCTCTTTCACAGTACGCAAGCTTCCCGGATTCGATCCCCATCAGCACCAATGAAATTGATAATTACCATTTACCACGTGCTCAGTGGTGAAGGAAAACATCTTGAGGAAAGCTGCATGTATGAGAAATAAGAAAAAAAATATTTCAAAGACATATGAAGTTCACTAACACGCATTGGGGCAGCGCGGCGGACATTTCCTTGCCCTAAGACCATTTCAGAAATATGGATTATAATCTTATACAAATGAAAAGAAAAATTGATTCAATAGACATTCTACACTAGTGTTTGTTAAAAAAATTAAATCATTAATTTATTTACAAAATATTTTTTTAACAGAATAAGGGTGACAAACGAGTACACAGTCCACCTGATCGTAAGTGGATGCTGTGGCCCATAGTAATCTACGTTTATTCTCGATTAAGAATCAAAACGCAGATGCATTGTCACCCCTGAGAACTAAGATGGATTGTCTCGTTTCCAGTTAAAAAGGGTCTCCGGATCTCTACACTCACCATACGAAACACAACTATATTTAGTATTTAGCTGCTATTTTACGTTGGTTTTCTGTGAGAACGTAGTTCTTTCCCGGTCAAGCCGACCCATTCGTGCTACAACCATAATATAGCTGCAGCGTGGCTATACCACGTTTGAAACATTTCACATTAAATCGTAAACAAACACTACCTAAAGTGTGGGTTTGCTTCCTCTTGATGAAGTGATGACCTGTTAAGATATTCAGGAAGTTGACGGATGAAGGTGGCTCGGGAGCGTGCTCTCTGGCGTTCCTTCCGGGAGGCTTATGTTCAGTAATGGATCGTACTTTGTGGCATTTCTTGGCGGCCCATTCAGTAGTGCAGCAGAAGGCTATGTATGTCCCTTCTTACTGGGCTTCTTGCCCTACTAGGTCCTCTTCCCTATACTTCGCTTGATGTTACGAGGCAGCGACTATAAAAGTCTTCCTTCATATAATTAAAGGAAGGATGGAAGTATTCCCATCGGTTGTCGGTTCTTCGAGCGGTATATACAGCCCATTGCCACATAAGCTTTTGAGCAGTTGATATCACAAAGTCTATCACGCAGAGAAATCACGCCATCTTCTATAGTTCGCTGGGTGACCTTGAACTTCCTCATACGGCCAACAGTGAAGGACCACGTCTCTCTTACTTCAAAATTATTTAATTACCTTTTATTATAATTAAACTTTAATAAACTTAAATCCAAAACAAAGTACTGCATAATGTATATAAATTAAACAGCAAACAATTAGCTAAAATTAAAATTAGCTTCACATAAATAAACGTCAGGGGTAAAAAATAGCCTTGTACCGTAACCAACGGACTCCAAGCACGCAATCTAAAAATATAGCTTTTAATTTCGTTATGTTAATGGAAGAAGATAAAACTAAATCTTATATAACCCGACCTTAAATTATTAATATTAAACTTTAAGAAAACTAAAAAACACGGATTGATCCCGAGCTGGGATGATTCTAGAGAGAATTATCCTGGTGATCCTAATCAGGATACTAGGATAAAGTTATTAAATTATAGTATTGTCATCAGTCATTGATACGAGTGCAAATTTTTAAGTCATTTAGAAAAAGTGTGTAAAAATGATTACGTATAATTTTTACAGGCGTTGAAGTAAATTTATTAATATTGTATTTTCACGCATTCGTTACAGTCTATCAATGTCCACAGCCTACCCCACTAATTACCACATACAAAGATAAGATGGAAGGTTCATGTTCTATTACGTCGCCACCCTCATAGTACTGTTACTGATTGTTTTAATTTCTTTATAGACACAACCATGGAAAGAAACACATTGATGGCCAAGTGCTACCCGAGGATTAAAGACTACTGTCGGGAGAAACATGGCTTGGAATTTCAGGTATGTTATTTTCTCAACTAGAGTTCATCTGTACCGTACAGCCTATTATAGTTCACTCCTGAACTAGGCTCCCCCCATAGGTTGCCTCATAAGGGGGATATTTGTCATAGTTGCCACGCTTGGCTGGCAACAGTAAATTTTTATTTTTAGTAGTTATTCAAAACACGGTGGTTGAGCTACAGGTTCCTGGGTTCGAATCCGGGAATTACATCAAATTATTGGGTGCGAGAATAACTAAAGTGGACTATGGGGCGATTAGCTCATTGTTTTATATATTGCTCTAGATTAGGAGTTACTGCGCCAAAGCGTTGCTACTGCACATATGGCCACAGCCATATTCCTAGCTAACGTCAGTTCAGTGCTCAATGTGACGTCGACAGAGTTGGGCCGAACGATCTGCCACAAAAATGAGTACTCGTAAATGCGTAGTGAAAAAATTCGATTCAAGGTCACAAAAACATAATAAATCAAGCGAAATTACTTTCCACACATTAGTTTTAGTTCATGTTTTCATATAAACGTAAAAACCTAAAATAATGAAATAAAATTATCGAATATTGTGTTTAAGGTTATTGTTGCCACTTTTCCGCCTTTGTGATTATCCCACGTTAACGTGATACTATACATTTTAAATAAACATATTATATCTGTGTCACTTACACAAGTTCCGAAAACAATACCAACGCTAATATTAAATAAAGATAGACACGCCAAACATGCAATGGCGGGTTGGTGTGGCTTACTATATGAAATTTTACCCAAAATACGCAATAAAAAGGAGTTTTTTTAAGCTGCAGTTAATTGTTTTTATTTTAGAAAAGTATATTTTCTTGTATATATCAGGTGAATAGAAGTTAGCATAACTGATGAAATAAAACGTATTTTTTATATTTTTAATGTACTAATAAATCAAACAATATAAAATAGGTAATAAAATATAATTAATAGATCATTCATGAATGAACTAAAATAAGAATAATTAATTATTTTGTAGGAAAGTTAAAACGTAGTTTTTATTATAATTTCAAAAATATTTAAAATCACAGGTAGCAAATTAACTTACTTCATTAATTATTAATTAAGTTAGTTAGTTATTAATTAAATTAAGATATAATATGTTTATTTAAAATGTTTAGTAATTTAAAAGCTACGTCGTCGCGTTTGGATAGTGGTTACACTTTCTTCGACGCGCGGTAATGTGGTTTGCTCCTCTAGTTTTGTATAACTCAATGCATTAGCTATAACTCAAACAAAATGCCAGACGTAACTACGACGTTCAATGCGATAATTTATTTCACTAACAAAGTGTTTCATCAAACTTAGATTTCTTATAAATTTTAACAACTTAATTCGGCGGACAGGTAGATTTTGAATAACTTTTAAACAGCTTTACCGATCGATTCCAAAATTTAATCAGCTGTTAATCCTGCAAAACGGTAGGGTCAAAATTGGTTGATTCGTTATCGTTAACAAAAATTTTGAATTTGGTGAAAGTTGGAGCGCTTTGCATTTGAAATTAGCGGAAAGTTCCAGGGATGGCCTGCAGGGTCCACCAATTTTTAAGAATATGTCTAGGTTATACTCTTTCCTAATTAGCATTACCCTGTAGCAGTGTAGTTAGGATTGGTAACCGCAGTTTTTATTATTATAATTTTTTTTTGTATCTATATAATTTTCTCATCTGGTTGGGTTACATAAATTTATAATTGAAAATGATAAATATACATAAATAACAATAAAATAAAATAAATACATAAAATTACCAGCCCAACCAGATGAAAGCCCTCGGCAGGGGAGCCCAGACGGCCGAGGTTTAGGGGAAAGGGAAAGAAACCGGCGAACAATGCGAGCAGTATCAAGGAGCACCGCCTTCTGCATTTAAGCCCGGAGCAGTCCGTCACGGAGTCCCAGTCGGCTCAGATGACCCGAGAGGCTGACTGGGATTAGCCCGTTTGCAGAAACGACCACAGGTATAATTTCGGTCGACAGCCCACCCCACACGTCGGTCACCTCGTGACCCAGGTCCAGATATTTTATTCGCTTATCTGTTTCGGCTTTCACGAGGTTCTCGTCATACGGAATGGTAATGTTGACCAAAAATATCCTTGACTGTGCCCGGTCCATCAGCACAATATCAGGCTTATTCGCAAGAATAGTCCTGTCTGTGATGATGGCCCGGTCGCAGCCTGGCGCGGTCATTTTCGAGCACGGCTTCCGGTAAGTACTTGTAATACGGCAGTTTCCGGTTCATGAGACCGTATTTCAGAGCGAGCTCCTGGTGTAGAATTCTAGCTACTAGGTTGTGCCTGTGCAAGTACTCCGAGTTAGAAAGCGCCGAAAAACTGAAGATAACATGCCTAAGTGACTCACCGAGATGGCGACAAGCTCGACAGATGTCGACGGTGTCATCCTTTAGGATGTATCTCCGATAGTTGTTGGTATCGCACAGTCAGAACCCTCAGTTTCCCCGAAGAGGTCACCGAAACGTAGCCAGTTGAGGGAGGCGACTGTGTCTATGAAAGGTTCATGTAGAGCCTTGTAGAACCTCCCGTGGAGCTCCTTCTCCTTCCATACAGTCTCCCGGTCGGAAATGCTCTGTACTCCCGATTCTTGCCATTGCTCGTTGGCCAAGGATAGATGGATAAGCCCTTTATCACAACAAATGACGTCCCTATAGAATGGATCATCCGATCTCGTCAGAAAGTAATTACGGAGGCTGCACACTTCGCGATTATGCATGGTAAGCGCGCTTAATAAGCCACGTCCACCATATTCCGCAGCAAGTACAGTGAATTATGTTATTTATAATGGGATGAAAGATCAACACGTTTGTTCAACTCGAGTGTTTATTTAATACTGGCTTACTTTCTAATACATCGAATATCACCTACAAGTACATAGATTACTTCACCTTTGGGGGCAAAGAAATAAAAGAGAAAAAAAATATTCTTAACTACTAAATGGCTTAGTCCTATTCTTATGAACAATGTCAATTTTACCATTTATATCAATTTTCACATTTACTCCTAAATCTTCTACAACTTTATAAGTTCCATCAAAAACACAATCTAATTTACGAGCACATTCATTTTTAAGTAAAACAAGATCATTCTTATTATAAAATACATGATTACATGATTCATCATATTTATCTTTCCTTTTTTCCTTACAAGCTAACAAATTATTTCTAGCATCTCTTAAGGCTACTTGCAATTTATATTTTAAATCTAAACAGTAATTATCAGGATTATAAAGTGGTTTAACATCATAATTCAAATTATTTGGCAAACGAAATTGTCTACCAAAAACAAGTTCAAAAGGAGTGTACTTAGTTTGAGTGTTCACACAATTATTATAACTAAAACACCAAAATGGAACCCAATGGGACCATTAAAATTCGAATTAGTACAATAACTTCTTAGAAACGCACCTAAATGTTTATGAGCTATTTCAAGAGAACCGATTGATTGGTGGTGGTATGCAGTTGACGATAACTTATCGATTTCTAATAACTTACATACCTGTTCCATAACCCGAGACATGAATTCTGTCCCCCTATCTGTAGCTATACATTTCGGAATACCGAATCTTAAAATAAAGTTACTTACAAAAGCTTCTGCAACTGTAACAGCTTCTTTATTAGGCAATGGATACGCCTCTATATATTTTGTTAACTCGCATTGGAGAGTTAAAATATAACAATTTCCATTCTCATCCTTATCCAATGGTCCAACTAAATCGAGGAAAACTTTCTCAAACGCAGTCGACGCAGTGGAGGTTAAAGTCATAGGTTGTTTGGTATATTTACCTTGTTTCATTTTCTGACATAATGTGCATTTAGTTACATATTTACGGATAGCCGAATCTAGTCCTGGTCAATAGTATTTTCTCCTAATATTATTCGTCATTCTAGTTATTCAAGTTATTCTTGCATCGTCGGCGGCCGAGTTGCAAATGATGGTTACATTAATGAACGAATCATTAAAAGAAAGAGGTATGAAAGTGAACGCAAGTAAGACGAAGGTTATGGTTTTTGAAAGAGAAGAAAGTAAAACGATTTGTGAAATAAGAATAGATGAGGAAATGATCGAGCAAGTAGATGAGTTTGTATATTTGGGCTGCGTATTTAGCAGGGATGGGAGATATGATAAGGATATAGAACGACGAGTGAATGCGGGAAATAGAGTAAATGGGGCCTTGCACTCTATTGTGAAGAGTCAAAATGTGTCGAAAAAGGCATGTATGGCAATTCACAATGCTGTGTTGGTCCCTACTTTAACGTATGGTAGTGAAAGTTGGGTGTGGCAGAAGAAGCACGAGAGTAGAATAAACGCAGTAGAAATGCGGTCGTTAAGGAGTATGTTAGGGCTGAATCTGAATGACAGGGTAAGAAATTGTGTAATAAGAGAAGAGTGTGGTTTGCAAGATGATGTTGTGACCAGGATTAAGAAAGGAATGCTTCGGTGGTTTGGTCATGTGGAAAGAATGAATGAGGAAAGAGTGACAAAGAAAATTTATGGTGTAGAAGTGAATGGCAGAGTCGGAAAGGGACGTCCTAGGCGAAAATTTATCGACCAAATTGGCTATTTATTGAAAACGGGCCAAATTAGGAGTACCCTTAACCGACAAGCATGTATGCGTAGGTGTATGGATGTGAAGGAGGCAAGAGAGGTGTGTCAGGATCGTGCCAAATGGAAGTCTATAGTCTCTGCCTACCCCTCTGGGTGACAAGCGTGAGTGTTTATTTATTTATTTATTTATTTATTCCAGCATGTCCACAAGTGGGTAATAAATGATAGTCATTTAAAATAAATTGTTTCTCGTTTTCATCATAAATTCTCTCTATTCCTTTCAGTACACATATTCGGGGTCCGGACCATTCACACAACGATTTAACTTCACTACATATTCCTTTTATAAATTCAGTATTCTTTCCATCTTTTACTATGCATAATTCTTTTACTTTTATTTTTTTGCAAAACTCTTTAAGTTTAATTGCAAATTCGGCTCGCGAGAAATGCAACTTAAAACCTAAATTAACACGCAATAACATTTTATTTGGTACATACATAAAACATTCTTCTTCTATCACTTTATTATTTCCTTTCTTAAATTTTCCTATTACTTCCCTGTCAGTCAATCTCAATTCTACGGAATCACATGGCTGTCTTAATAGTGCCACGACGCGTGGTTGATCAGGCCACTCATCAGGGCACTTATTAAGAGCAGTCTGTTCTACCGTACTATTCTGCTCCATCTTTTTCTTTTGTTGTCTCGTTACAACTGCCAAAACCTCCTCATTCATACATTTCATTTCACTTGATGTTATATACACTCTAGATAATGCATTTGCGATTACATTATCCTTACCCTTCACATACACAATCTTAAAATCGTACTCTTCAAGAATTAAACGATATTTAATTAACCTGCTAGATGGATCCTTCATTCCAAATAAATAAATCAAAGGTTTGTGGTCGGTCATGATAGTAAAAGTTCTGCCAAATAGATAGGGTCTAAAATATTTAACTGCCCACACTATTGCTGTTAATTCTTTTTCTATTACGGGATAGTTCTTTTCAGCTTTATTTAATGGTCTACTAGCATAAGCTATAGGTTTTCTATTTTTTATTATTATTACACAGCACAGCTCCTACAGCCAAGTCTGAAGCGTCTGTTTGCAATACAAATTCATTAGATTCACCAAAGTCTGGGTATTCTAATATTGGTGGAGAAATTAAAGCGTTTTTTAAGAAATTAAATGCATTTTGGCAATCTGAATTCCAAATGAAAGGTTTCCTTTTTAGTAAATTATTTAAATGCATTGTTATGGTAGCAAATGAAGGTACAAATTTTCTATAGTGATTGCAAAAAGCAACAAAGCGTCTTACTTCATCGGCATTCTGAGGAACTGGAAACTTACTCGTATCTAGAACTTTAGTTTTTTCTGAGTCAGGTGCTATACCATCAGCGGTTACTACATGATCAAGATATAAAATTTTCTTTTTTGGAAATTGACACTGCGGGATTTAGTTTTAAACTTCCTCAATCTTTCAAAAACGTCTATCAAATTTTGGTTATGAGTGGCTAAAGATATTCCAAACGTAATAAAGTCATCTAAATAAATGAAACACTTCTCAAACGCTAGTCCCGACATTGCTATTGACATGACCCTACTGAAAGCACTACAGGAAGTTTTAAGACTCATCGGTAAACGTTTTGACCCATTGGTAATGTCCTGTACTAGTTGAAAAAGCTCTGTATTTTCTGCTTTCAGGTGCTAATTTTACTTGGTAGTAGTAGTTAGTATCCTTGTTGTAAATCTAGATGAGTAAAGTAAATTGAACCAGATAGTGAGTCTAAGATGTCTGTTATGTTGGGTAACGGGAATTTATCGTCTACAATGTTTTTATTTAATTTACGGAAATCGATTACTAAACGCCATTTTTTTGAGCTTTCAGACTTTTTAGGTATTAATAGTATAGGACTTGACCATTCGCTAGAAGATTCCTCGACAATGTCGTCATCGAGCATCTTTGTTATTTGTTTATTTACTTCAGTTTTTAATGCATGTGGTAATCTATATTGTTTTGTAGTTATCGAATTAGTTTTATTTTTTAATGTAATGGTATGTTCGCAAATATTAGTAGTTTCTAATTTGTCACCTGGTAAGAAGAAAATATCAGAATATTTAGAACAAATGGTTTCAACAGATAATTTCTCTTCATTGTTTAAATGGTTAAATTCTAATAAAGGTAACAAAGATTTAGCTCTATTGGAGCTACTTTTACATTGACCAAATTTAAAAATGTTATACTCTCTCAAAGGTTCCACATCTAAAGTAAAATTGTTTAATCTTATTTCCTCATCTCTAATATTTAAAATCTTAATTGGAACGCGTTTATTTTTCGGTTGAACAATAGTTCCTGCCAAAAATACATCCTTTTATATCTCTCTCGCGCACACAAAACAATACTCTTCCATTTCCTTATTCAAATACACATAATGTATAGACTCACTTCAAGGTGCGAGTACTAACGAGTTGCTATAATCAGGTTTATCGAAAATCGGTAAAATACAATGCTTACCATCAATTTGCAGTGTCAGTAAACTATTTTCTAAATCTATTTTAGCCTTATATCTAGTCATAAAATCTAATTCTAATATTCTATCTACGGCGATAGGTAAATTCTTGAAACTATAAAACTTGCTCGTAAATTTATCATATTTAGAACTGTAAATGTCTAAAATAACATAACTCGAAGCTTCGATTTCTCCTCCGATTCCATTTATTATTAAATTATTGTAAAATATTTCACTCGACTTAGGAATTTCTTCTTCCTTAATTACCGAAATAGATGCACCGGTATCTACCAGTAGTATAATCTTCCTATTCTTAACATAAAAATTTACGAATTTAGTGTTACCTACTTACAAGCAAAATCTAAGTTATTAAGTCCGAAAAAACTCGTTACTCTCTCTCTTCAGCAGTTCGTACTGGCCTATCATTTTGTAACGCTAATATTCTATTGTTAAAATTACCTTTCTTGTTGTTGTATCCCCTTCTGTTGATGTAGAACATATTTTGTCCTCTACCTCGCGGCGTATACTGGAATCTATTACCTTGATATCTATTAAAATTGTTATTATTATTTTGGAAGTTAGTACCTCTGTTGTTGTGTATTTGTTGTGGTAATTTGTCTGGAACCCTCGAACTCTGGTTTGGAATCTAAAAGAACGATTATTGTATCTACCTCGACCTCTAGGAAAAGATGAAATTTTCATTACCTCTGCCTGAGTAGATGACGATGGAGTGAATTCATCCTTGGCCGCTTGAATGGCTTCTTTTAGCGATGTGTAATTTCTAGCAGCTATAATCGTACTTAACTTTTCATTTTCTAGTCCATCCGTAAATTTTTTAATCACCATTTTTTCATTAATTGGTTTCAGAACTGTATCTTTAGTGACGTCACCGTCAGCCTGTGAAATATTCAAATCGGTTAATAGTTTTTCAAGTTAAGATCCGTATTGTTCAATAGTCCTATAGCCCTGATTCAGAGACTGTATCTGATTATGTATTGCAGTGAAAGATTTTTTTTGTCAATGACTTATTACGAAAATCTTGAATCATCAAGTCTACTGAAGTATAAGAATTGGATACGCGCAACTTAGCATTTTCTGATAGCCTGCCCTTGAGAACAAATTTAATTAAAAGTTGCTGGCCTTCACTACTAAGCATGTCTGCATAAATTTCCACCGCATCAATCAATCGTTTCGTAGTATCTTCCCTATCATCTAAAAGATTTATCAAGCTACAAGCAGTTTTCAAACCAAAATCCATCTTTCCTGACTTCATCTCTAAGCTGGGTGAAACACACAATTTCGCTATTTCTGCAAATAAAGAACAAATTTTGTCATATGTTTCAGTAATTAAAGATATTTCCGACTTATCCTTAATATTACTTAATGTAGAAAATATATCTTTACTATTATTTAAATATATCTCGGCTTCGTTCAACTTACTTAACGCAATAGAACCTTTATACCTACTTTGTCCTTTTTTAATCAAATTTTTCCTTATTTCTGACAATTGCTCATAATCTTTTATTATTTTCTCAGCCATAATACCATTAATTTCATATAGAAACTAAAGTTAACTTGCACTCGGTTCATATTTCATTCAATTGATTTTAATTTTATTCTAAAACGAACCACAGTCATACAGTGTACCGATTATAAATGCTGAATTGCATCTCGACCGATCGCAGCGGTCGGAATTCTTAGAATTAACACATGACGATAACTATTTTAAATGTTATTGGGAAACAAAATTAAACATGCTACCTAAATTTAACATAATTTTCGTAAAGAAGTTTATAAAATTACCAATGTCACTATAATTGTCACGTAAAAAAAGGGTTTGACTCACTCTTGTAAAAACTAAACGGAAATGCACTTTTTAGGAACTGCACTAATATAAAACACACCACGGTTTCACGCTGCTTGTCTGCTCACGCGCAGAGTCCAAAAACAGGCGTCGTCATGTGGATATACGGTGTGGGGGCACTCGGAGAAGTCAAGGATCGCTCACTTATGTCCAGGGTTCAGTACAGGGGTAGGCCGGTTACGTAGATATACGGTGTAGAGGCACTCGGAGAAAGTAAGGCAACACAAATTTATACATCTTCTTCATTACGCGGTTCACGTCTGTTAGACAGTCTAGTGCGCATTCTTCTTAAAAATTCCGCATTAATTTTCTTTTCTACCCATTTCTTATATTTTTCTTTCAGCTTCAAAAATATGATAACAACCAGGACGATTGATGCCAAAATTAAAAATGTTGTGATCAATATATTGTTAATCTTTATATGATTATTCTTTTGCTTCTAATTCCACAGTATTGGTTCCTCCAGTTTGGGCAATCGTCGTTTCATGTTCTTCATTTCTCAAAGTCCGCACTTTTAGCCTGCACCCGGACACGCGTATTTGGCATGGGTCGCCATGAATTATGTTGTTTATAATGGGATGAAAGATCAACACGTTTGTTCAACTCGAGTGTTTATTTAATACTGGCTTACTTTCTAATACATCGAATATCACCTACAAGTACATAGGTTACTTTAACAGCCTCATAATCGAAGATCTCGTGTGATGCATCCTATGGGACGTCATAGTAGTGCGGACTTTTCTGTTTAGGGCGTTAAGTTCCGTCTGAATTCACCTAAGTATGCCAAAGGTATACATGAGTACAGGCATGACCCAACCGTTACATGCTTGTGTCTTATTAAGGACAAAAAGCTGTTAGCACTTTGGTCAAGTAATAAAAGTCGCAAAAGAAATTTGGTGTGGTATGTTTAGCTCGGGGCCTGGGGGTATAAGTCTATGACCTCAGAGTTAGCAACCTTTCCCCTTTCAACATGGAGGACAGCACACTTATCCGTTCCTAGCTCCATTCCAATAGAACTGCTGAATTCACAAGTGATGGGACCGACTGGAGACGAATAACTTGAGGTCATCCATACAGAAAAGGTGGGTCACTTTTGTACCTCCTTTCCGAAGCTGAAATCCCTCTCGGAGCCCTCCAGTAATGTACTGAGAGGGTTCAAAGAGAGGCAGAACCAGATTGGAGTCAGACAGTCGCCCTGGAATATACCCCTTCTTATCCTTATGCGGCTTTCCGCAGCCGTCATCCGCTCACCCAGATGACAAAGGATCGTACTCCACTGCCCCATACATTGCTCGAGGAAGTCTCTAACTGTACAATCAATCTTGTACAGCTCGAGGACCCTCTTTAGCCATGTATGGAAAACCGAGTCGAATGCCTTTCTGTAGTCTACCCAGGCGGCGGAGAAGTTCCGACGGTTGCGTTTCACCACTTTGGCAACTACCGCGTCAATGAGGAATGGTTCCTTGGTTCCACGAACACCGCCCCGACATCCATTTTGAGCACGCGACATCACCTGATTAGAGTCCAGGTGACGAGTAATTCTCGCGCTCAAAATGGATGTCAGTGTCTTGTATATGGTCGGTGGACACGTGATGGCGCGGTATTTGCTAGGGTCTGTGGTAACCTGGTCTTTAGGAACCAAATGATTGATCCCAGTAGTGAAGAGGCTAAGGAGCGACTTCTGGTTGAGAGCCTCTTGAAACTGACGGGCGTGCACAGCGTGACACATCATGAACCCCTTCAACCAGTAGTGATACAGCCCGTCGAGTCCCGGACTTTTCCGGGTATGATCCGGCGTTATGATGACGGGGTTCATGGGCGTAATACTTGCACACTGACTCGCCACAGCTTCCTTCCAAGGGCCCTCGCTGTGGTTTACGGGCTCTGACCACAGGCCGCGCCAGAATGCTACAGTGTCGGCCTGATTCGGTGCTGGGCCCGTTCCACTTACCATTGGTCGCTCCAATGATTTATAGAGCATCTTATGATCACTCTGGAAGAGACGATTCCGGTTGAACCGTGTCGACCTCTCGGTATATCGCCGAATCCGCTTTACCCAAGCAGCGATTCTCTGCTTCAGGTCTGCGCTCCGTCAGTTTTTGCGTTATATCCGGCTGGGACAAACTAACATTTGTCCCAGAAAATGCCATCCTGACGGTGCGCACAATCCTTGGCCTATTATTGCCTGACCTGAAGCATATCAGTCTGCCGATGAGGGCCCTAGCCTTTGCGATACGTTCCTCAATTCTTATTCTCCAGGCTGGGATAGCACTACTTTGTCCAGTAGCGCATCCAGCCGTGGAAAGTTTGGCGCCTATAGTACGGCATATTGCCAGTGCGGCGCCAAAAAGAATTCAGAACGTCTCGCAATGCTCCCGGTTTGGCTTCCAAATAGGTCACCAACATTGGGTTCGGAGCCCTCACGACAGCCTGATTCTGCTTGCTTAAGGCTATGCGGGGAAGTCGCAGTCGATTTTCGAGTGGCGTACTGCGCGTTTCCACAATCGCCTCTTCCAATGTACTCCTCATATGCTCTAATTCCAGTTCCTGGGCGACTGTTCCATCATCGTTTGAAGTTCCATCCATCCATCATCGTTCCTGGGCGACTGTTCAACCACAACTGGGGTATTCACGGCGGCATCCACGTTTGCGGGTTGCTCTACAATTTGTGGCGCCACATCCTCAGCCGTAGCATTTTCATCTGATGAGGGAACAGCCTCACGTCGTAGCCGTTCGAGTTCGGCGACATCAAATATATTTGAGGGCAAGATATACCGAACTCGGTCTGCCAGGTTTTGCTCTGTGACGGTTAAAGATGGCTCCAGCTCAGCAAAAAGACGATGCATCCTAGCCCGATACGCCAAACATCCAGTTTCTTCCCCTTTTGCCTTAAAGTACGCCCGCAGTGCGTTTGCGTACATTGTTTGTGACCAACGCATGCAACGTGCTCCACCAGCGGCGGGTGCCGCTTGCTGAGTCCGAGAAGACCCAGCCGACACCAAGCGTTCTGGTGGGGATGATGGATGCGCTAGGTGCTATGCTAGGTGGCCGTGCAGCTCCTCTCGCTCGGCTGGCGGCCCGCATGCTGCCACGTCCAGCGCCAGCTCCAGACGCGCCCTGACGACCCCCAGGCAGCGGCCCTATGCGCGTTCCTCTTTGTGCTATCATCCATTTTGTGGGCACCAAATAATTAAATAAAAAATAAAATTAAACGGGACACGCCCAAGCCCGGCACCGTTTCGTGGTTCGGTCGTATGCACAAACGGATGCTGTTGCTTATCTCCTGTTTCAGTTTCCCTTTGTCACCTTAAGCAACACCGACACTACACGCCACTTTACTTTAAACTTTACTTTTTACTTTCAATTAATTTATTTTCTATCTTCTTATAACACTCCGACAGTACACAGCAGTGGACTTCAATAGGCTCTAACGTTGACGGTTATCAGGAAGATGCTGCTGTCCATCTCCTATTTTAGTTTCCCTCTGTAATCTCCTATGACATCCTTGGGATGATATGAGATGGTGAGTTCTCATACACTAACACCGCACGCCATTTTTTAATCCGGTCTATTACATCTATTACAATCTATAAATAGATCATAGTTTTGGGGGCGTAGCTTATACCTGAGGGAGGGTCAAAATGAAAGTGATGAAATGACTTCATATTACGTAAATTATGAGATAGCTATACCGAGCACGTGCGCGAAAATAAACTACGTAAGCGACAAATAACATTTTTTTTAACAAATATTTGTTATGGATTTGAAAAATGGTTTATGAGAACTTAGAGATGATTATTTACTATGCCTTAAAAATAACTACATGAACTTATTGTGTCTTAATGTCATGGAGAAATGTAACTAATTAGAGCCTACTTTTCCGAGAAATATTTGTTTGAAATCAAGTTCATATAGTAAAAAATCATATACCAAAAATTTGGTTCGTAATTCATAAAATTTAAAAAAAATATGCGAATCATAAAAACCACCAAATTTTCGAGGTTTTACCTGATTTACCTTAAGGTAAGACCTTATTATAGCTTTAATTTAAATTTGATTATTCAACACAACTTTCTTAGGGGATTGTATTTAAATACCCTGTCAAACCAACCAGAAATTTGAGCCTATATTTAAATCATCGTAAAGCATACTACGTAACAACTTTCACGAATACAAACTAGCCATTGTCATGTCAATTAATAGTATGTAACTAAGTTAAAGTTAAATAAGTTAATGTGATTATTACATCAATTCAGTGAAGCTTAGAACTGAGTTAACTTTAGTAATTTAATGAAACTTAGAACATTTTAATCAAACATACTTTTTATAAAATTATGGTGCGAAACGATTAAATGGATGATACATAGTCATCTATATTCATCCTTGATTAAGAATCAAAATGCAGATGCGTCGTCACCCCTGAGAACGAAGTTTGAACGGCTCCTTACCATACTGGTAACTGGGAACTTACAGACAAAGCGTCTCCGGTTCTACACTTACTATACGAAACATAGCTACACTAACATAGACTAGAAAAACTAATTCAATTTCCAGAGCATTTGTTTCTCTACCGCTGGATTTATGCTTTCTTAAGTATGTAGCTGCCATCTAAACGTAGCATAAAAGCAAGCAGCCAGACCCGAATATACATACAAATACTCGTTTTGTGTGGGATTTGAACCTGAGGCCCTTAGCTTTGAATCTACTTACTTTTACATCCGTCACCGAACATATAACATTGAGATTTAAGACATTAATTAACCTCACCAGTTAGTTAACACGTTCGCTGCGGCAACTATTTGAGACATTATTCCCCCAGTGCGTTACCAGGTCTATAGGCCTTATACCTAAAATTTTCACCGGTGCGTCAATGGGTCAATAAACCTGGTAAGATATGGGTCACTTCAAACTCTAATAACTCTGCGAAAACTTTTGATATTGAATATTTTTTTTAACTAGGTTATTGAGAAAATGTAAGCCTATCTTATACTAGCGTCGCAAATTGCTCCGATGGCTAATTTAGAAAATATACAGAAAAACAAACATAAGGCTTATCGACCCATTACCGCACCTAGGTAATGGTATAATTGGGATAATTTTAGTGATGGGAAATAACATAAGTACAGAAATATCGAGATCAACTTTATTTTATTATTAACTGTTATCTGTTATAGATGATTTTCGTAAAAACATTTAGCGCAATATCCCTTGTTGCACTCAGCGCAATACGATTTAATTTTTTTTGGTTTTTCTTTGAGCATCTTTGCTATTTAACGTTGCACGAAGCTTATTGTAACAACCCGCACAGTTTCTTCTTTTTATTCCTTTGGTTTCGAAGGTATGATTCGTCTTTGGCATAGCAGCACATTCATTAGCTGTAATAAAAGAAACAAATTAAATAATAAACCAAGAGAGGAAGCGCCGTGTGAGATTGTTGCTATTTTAAAGCTAACTTTATCTTAAAACTTAACAACTAATAAAAACTAGCTTGCTCCGAGAAAAAAATATAAGGTTATTGTATCAGTATTAAATTACAGTTAAGTATTTTATTATCATTTTTAGTTATTTTTTTTCTGACAGAATATCTTTACCTAGTGCTAAATATTACGGAAAAATATATTACCTGTTTCTGTTAATATCGGCACCTGAGTCAAAGCTTCAATAATTGCTTCCATAAAATTCTTCTTTGGCATTTGAACTGGTTTTCCGTGATTGTATAATACCCAGCTGTTTATTATGACTGTTCCAAATAATATCTCCATCATTACTTTTCTAAACCATTTCACGCCTCTTTTCAAGCTAGAATAATATGAGGACATTTGGTCGTTAAAATCGATGCCTTTTTTATTCTCATTGTATGTTATGACGCATTGTGGTTTTTTAATTATGTTTCCAGTGATTCGGTTCGTCTTACCTGAAAATGAGATAAATACAAGTTAAAATATTGGTAGATACAGTGTATTTATAAATTTATTCAAATTAAATTTCTCAAAATTTGTAGATTTTATCGCGGGCGGATACTAGTTTATTTATAAAAAATACTCCTAATTTCTCAAATTTTTACCTAGTTATATTTTGTTTTTATTTTTGCGTCATATGTATTTTTAATTTTTTCATTTAAATAATTATGTAAATAGCTAGTTATAATGCTTTAGTGCCAACTGTAATGTTACTTCTATAAATAAATAAAACAGAAAAAATGAACTAACATCCTTGTCTAAAATGACACATATGTAATACGTACCTGTAGATTTAAGAGTCAAATTGTGATTTCGGCACGTAGAAATCATATGAACCGGTCTCTTATCTGTCCACTTTATAACTCTTACCCCATTTGGGTTCATTTTTCCTACTATTTGACCTCGTTTCAATTTTATGGATATTATTTTCTTAGGATTTCCTTTCCGATTTGGTCTCAGAGTACCACACATGAAGGTCTTTTTACGTATAAGTTCTTCCGCAAGATCAATGGAATTGTAGAAATTATCTGTTATTATTATTCTTCCATTATTTTCTAATCCTTTTATTAATCTTAATACTGTTTCCTTTCCATGATTAGTTTCTCGACCATTATCTCCTTTACCTGTATATATAATACAGTTTCTTGTGTATCCTTCTGGAGTGCAGAGCTTATATAGTTTCACTCCATATTTGTGTGACTTGTTTTTAATGTATTGGCGAAATTTCAACCTCCCTCGCCACGGAATCATACTTTCATCTATGATAAGATACCGACCTGGCTCCAAAAGGGTTTGCATTTTTTCTAAAATCTTATTAAAAGTATCCCTTATCTTTTTCAATTTGTCTGTGTCGTTAGGTGACTCTTGACTAAAATGCCAAAATTTCAAAATTAGCAGAAATCGATCTCTTGTCATAACTGAACTAATGTATTTATTATTGTAGATGTTTCTTTTCGACCAGTAATCATTTAAACGTGGTATTCTTACAAGACCCATCGCCAGTAGCACTCCTAAAAATTTTTTCATCTCCTCTGGAGTTGTAGGAGTCCAGGCTCGCAAGCGTGATTTAGGCTTAAGATTACTTAGATTACTAATAAGATCTTGTGCGTAATTGTTTGTGTTTATTACCATTTGCTCAATAATTTCATCCGTTACAAATAGACTGTAAAAATCTGCTGGCGTTATAGTATTATCCGGAATGTTTGGTCTACAATTATCTGTGAATTCATCGAAATCAGGTTTCGTATCGTTAATGTCTTCCCACTCGTCAAAATTATTGTTTTCTGTACATTGAGTATTTTCAAGTATTTGAACTAATTCGGTTTCAGAACTGTTTTCATAGTAAGTTATTACGCTATCATCACCATCACTATCGTCGGAGTAAGAAGAATCAGTTTCTAGGTCAGACGAGTTGGGAGCATAACTATCATCAGATGAATCGGGTTCAAAATCTTTAGCAGAATTTGCAGGAATATTCAAATATGTTAATGAACTTTGTTCATTTTGCGTTTGAGTGTCATATATTTCACAGATTTTCTCGGAAGGGTTGCGAGTACAATTGTTATTAGATGCATCTGGATTTAAATCTTTACCATAAATTGTAGAAATATTCAAATTTGTCAATGAACTTTGATTATTCTGCGTTTGGGTGTCATATATTGCACAGATTTCCTCGTTGGATAGTGGGCATAATAAGGATTTTGCACATGAAATGTCACTAATTGAACTAGTCCTGCTTGTAAGATTTGATACGTTCGGAGTTACTGGGGTTTCTTTTCGTAAATTATAATATTTGCGGATAGGAGTTGCAAGTCCGTATTCAGCGTTTTCCAGTACATGAAGAGTATTGCCTGTACTAGGACTAACATAAACATCGTTTTCTGATTTTTGTATTTTCTTTCTTTTAGGCGTAAAGTCTAAATAAGTCTTTCTAACTCGAGGACTTACCCGCATTGAGATATCGTGTAAAGTTGAACTGAAGCTAGGTTCTTGAAAAGCAATAGATGAATTGCAGCGAGGTTCTTGAAAAGTTGTAGTTTCACTGCTTGTAGAAGCTGGCTTAACAATAACATCCTGAAGGATTTGAATTTGTTTTTTTTCTTGTAAACTGGCACTGTTATTTTGGTCCACCACTTCTTGTGCATTTTGAAAAGACAGCTCGAGCATTTTTCGACAACGTTTATTGACTCGATGCATTTTTTATGAATCGTACGCACATGCATTTGTAAAAGCTGTCAACACAACACTAATTGATTTTGACTCTTCAATCAGTGCGGTATTAGGCAGATAGGCATTGTACTTCCCATAAGGCCTATGGGCCTTGCATCCGCACTGAATGTCAATTTTTACTCTCCAGTGCGGTATAAGGTCGATAGGCCTGATACAAATTTTATTATTTAAATGAATAGCCATTGAAAAGACGATCTTAAATATATACTTGTCTTTATCACTTATAGAGAAATCTTTAAGTTACTGCGTTCGCACCAGAGGGAGAACGCTGTATTTTCGCTCCGCACCGACTGCAAGTTCATGTATCAGGCCTATAAGCCTTGTGCCGCAGCGAACGTGTTAAAAGTGAACAAAAACTGTCACTACGTTAAGCACGCAGTTTTTATGACTTAATTTTTCAAAATGGCTACCATTCTTTTGTGTAATAAAAACGCAGGAATTCGGTTTATAAAACAAATTACACGTAATTGAGCCAAATCGCTTTATTATTCACGGTGTGGGTACCCTTTGGCTTTGCTGTATCTATGTTATTTTTATACAATACAGGTGGTATTGACTTTTATATTGATGATATTCAAATTCAAAAATGTTTTATTCAGTTTAGATTCAGATAGATAGAATCTCTTATGGTTTCAACGTGGTGGTGCGACTATATAATGGTTGTATTCCGAATGGAACGGCTCGAATCGGTAGGACCAAGCTGTCACAGACTAAATAGCAGCTTAATCCTGCTGAGCTACGTATGGTGAGTGTAGAGAACCGGAGACCCGCAGACCTTTAAACTGCTTATGCCATCTTGGTCCTCAGGGGTGGCAATATACATCTGCATTCTGATTATTAATCCGCACCATCCTGGTCCGCATACTGGTCCGTATCGTTCATCACACCTATTCTGTAAAAAATATTAATAGAACAGATTCCAAAAATGAGACCTCTACAGTCCCAAAATACTCCGTAGTCACTTTTCCTGTATTTGTTTTGATGTGGTAATTCCATTTCGCAATGTTTTCAAAATTGATTGAAATTATATTATGGTGGAATTAATTTTATGACGGCAGCCGTCCACTAGTAGAAAGAACTTTATTACCTCATTACGTTCTCATAATAAAGTCTTCAATAAAGGCCTAATTACCAAGGTACATTCACATATTTTTAACTTCTCTTCTCGCAGTTCAATAATATTTTCAGGAATTTTATCACACATTTTATTTGTACACTCGTAGTTTAGACTAAACTAACTTTACGAATGTCCAATTTATTATTCTGTTATTTGTGTATTTTTTTAGAACGCTAGAACTTTCTCTTATATGGTGGAGTCAGTTTCAAACATTATCATTATTACAGTCCTTCATAAGTACACTGCTGAAAATAGGCCTCCACTAAGGAATACCAAAAAGCATGGTCCTGAGTCATCTGCATCCATTAGCTTCCTGCATCTCTTATCAGGTCATCACTCCACCTAGTGGGGGGATGCCCTACACTTCACCTGCCGGTACGAGGTTGCCACTCGAGAACCTTTTTTACCCTTCGGTTATCGATTCTTCGAGCTATATGGCCGGCTCATTGCCACCTCAGCTTACTAATCTGTTGCTATGTCGGCTACTCTGGTTTTACTGTGAGTATATGTATATGTATATAGGATATACGTAAGAGAATCCATCATCCTATTTTGTCTTTTGTCAACTTTGTCATACGAGGCTATTATGGGATATTCCAGAAAGTTCTTATAGTGTCCTATAGATGGCGGTATATGCACCTCGTTTATACCAGTAGTAAAATATCCAGCAAGATGGCATTATCATTCTGGAAACGGCGAAGCAGGCGTTGCTCGGAGTCTCAGGTTTACATCACTAACACTCACTGGCACTCAGACTAACAACGCGGTTGCATTCTGCAGGCCACCGCCGTGTTTGGCACTATAGGTTGGCCGATTGGGATAGAATGCGGCCTTTTTTGCATCCTACAATTTTTGGGTGTTGTTGCTGATTCTGACGCTGATGTGGTACCTCAGGTTCTGAAACTTTTTATCCCATCCTTTGTGGTGTCGATTGGAAGCTAATCCCAGCCATGGTTTGGTCACTCCTGTAAAATAACATCACGCTGTAAGGAGCACTGCCGGTCATGGCCTGATGCATCAACATCTCGGGATGTGAACAATAGCGCTCTTACAAAGATGTAAAATTTCGCCTTCAGGTCCTTCAAAAGAGTCATTGCCAAGGCAAGATCTGAGCACATCGGCTGGATTGGCAAGAAGCTAGTTAGCTTTCCTCCGGGAACTCGTGCATTCTGGTCTCTCGTCAAGGAACTTCTATCAGTCATTTCTTCCATTTTTGCATATAGAGGATGACTCAGTAGCCAATACGCAAAAGAGAAAACCAATCTATCAGGCTCTCTCTTTGCATCAAACTCGACACTCAATGACGGAGGGAACGCACTGCCGATTATCCCGCGGTGCCAGTGCTCCATGCCGGATGTGCGGTTTACACAGCTCGGTTCGCAAAGCAACCCCCCTACCTGGACGTTAGCAAGTTGAGTGGACCTGATGGAGTCCCTTCCATTGTGCTAAAGACGTATGCTCAGGTGGTAGCACCGGTTTTAACGCGTCTTTTCCGGTACTTCTACTGCCAAGGCGTAGACCCGAATTCATGGAAGACAGCTTTGGTCCCTATAAAAGGCGACGCTCAGACCCCTCCAAATACAAGTCTATCGCCATCAACCCCTTGCTCTCCAAAATAATGGAGTCCGTTTTATACTGCCAGCTCATGAGGTACCTTTTTTAAATTTATTTATTTAAGAAATTTATTGTTACAAGGATAAATAGTTTTAGAGTAAACATAAGCTCATTAGAGTTTTTCCGTACACCATTGCTGTCGACACATTATTCGAATTATCAAATTACAATACATTACATTACCAAAGTTACATTAATATTATTACCAACTTAAATTAGGTGCATTAAATGTTATGTTTATGACGTCTTTCAAAGATTTAGGTAACTGATTGATTAGATTAGGTATAACATAGTTTAAAGTTCTTTTTCCGTATAAGTTGTTATATATAGTTAATTGTAGTTTTGGATTATCGATTCTGCAAGTGGAGTATAATAACTTATCTACCTTTTGAAAAAAAAATCAATAAAGTCATTTTCAGTTAGTAATGTTAGTTCAACTTGGTCGTGAATAGGTATAATTTTACAAAATGCAAATAGTTTTCGGTAATCATCTTTAAAATTAAATTTGAGATTATCCTATATTAGCTAAGCTAGCTAGTCTTTATAGATATCCTATTTGTTTTAAACGCGCAGCTGAATTGAGTATATTCGATCAAGATATGTATTATAGGTTCTCCCATAGCTTGACAAGCCATATTGTATAACAGATTCACCTAAGGATTTATAGAGCGTTAAAGAGATTTTGTTTTTCTGGGATTGAGGAGGCCATCACTTAAGGAGGGTCAATGCAAAACAAACAAACAAACAAATAAGTATATAGATTCTTAATAAATTATAAATAAAAATATTTTTTCAATTTGCAACCAATTTAAATTAATTCTATCCTATTCACAATGCTATAAAAACCGAATCCATTAAAAATAATCACTTAAAGTTTATAAATCAATTACATAGATTGAAAATATTAATGGTTATTAGTACCTAATTCATATTTAAACTTTAACCAAATATTATAAAAAATAGTTATCATAGTCAAAAATTACGACATTAATTATTAACTCAATCAAATTCATTCAACAATATAGAAATAAATTAAAGTATTAAAATATAAAAAAAATAATTGAAATAACTTAAAGTATTAAAATCTAAACAAAAACTAAATTTATATTTTCAATTTCCTTTATAAAATGCAAATTACATTGTAAAAAGGTTATATTGTAAAACTTATTTAGCATGGAATAAAAGGCTTTTTTATTTTTATTTATTTTATTTAAAGAGGTTTTGTAAGGTATTTTGTGTTCGATTAATGTAAACTTTGCTCATATCCCTCTTAGTATATCACAAATACGATTTACTTACTCTTTCCAGTTTAGCCAACCGTCAATAATTAGGCCAAGATGGGTGTGCTTATTTACAATTTCTATAGTATCACAATTACGGAGAGTCGAATTGACAGTATTTTTTATATGAAGGCAGTGATGTGTGTGCGCTATTAGTTTAGGTATAAAAGAACTTCTGTTGTGGCTTGTGCTTATATACATAAGTTTAGTTTTAGCAGCATTGCGTACTAAACCGACGTTGTGTGACCACTTCGTCAGTATGTCAAACTCTTTTTGAAGCTTCATTAATACCTCCTTTGTACTACGTCCAGCAGCTACTAAACAGGTGTCATCTGCAAACTGATAGATCTCACACTGTTTAATTAAATTAGAAAGACTGTTTACGTTAGTAAGAAACTGTACAGGTCCGAGAACTGAGCCCTGTGCTGTACCTTCCGTTACCTGGTCAGGAAAACTAAGAGCATTATCTATTGATTAAAACTACTTTTACGGATTTTATCGCGTTTTATTTATATTAATTTTAATACCCGACGTTTCGGGTGCTTTCCAGCACCCATGGTCACGGGGGACTGAGGTGACTGACGTCCCGATGTCAAAGTTAACCCGGAGTACCTTCAGCTTTTTAATTATTGTCTTTGGTCCGATCTACACAGTATGAACTAACTGTATTTTGAAGTCTTGCAGTGGTAAGAATTTTTTTTTCACAAGATTATATTTTTTTTGGGGGGTGCCCCCGCCCGTGGTGTTGCTTGGGTTTAGTTTTAATTTTATTAATTATAGGATCCCAAGCAGGTGGTAGTACCCAGCGTCCTTCTCTATTGAAATTAGGATATTTTTTAATTTCAATAGCCTCACGTACGTAAATTAATAATAAATTAAAATATAAGAAATCATTAAGCATTATCTATTTTCACTAGATAAGATCA